CCCCAAAACCCCAAAACCCCAAAACCCCAAAACCCCAAAACCCCAAAACCCCATGTATTTATAATTTAATTGCAATTATTGTTAATTAACATGAATTTCTTATTTCTTGATAGCCATTCTTGGATCCATCACCCCTACATTTGGATTGGTACCGAACATCTTATTGTAACTATTCTCTCTGTTTACTAATTCTAGCTTGTAGAATTTCATATCTTCAGCAGCCTTTTTGAGCAGGTTATCTTTTTGATCGATCTCAAGCTGTAACTGCTTGATTATTTCTAAATCTTCAGGACGAGAAGGCCTGTTATCGTACAAATTCTGGATTTCATTAAATCTATGCTCAAGTTGGCTGTACTTCTCTTCCATAAGTTCCTGAGTCTTTTGGAAATCGAGCTGGATAGCTTCCATATCTTCTACATGCTCTTTGATCAATGAATCCATTTGTTCCTTGAGTTGCTGCTTGAGAGAAGCTTCTTTAGTGGCATAACTACTTTCGAGTTCTTTAGTCCTAGCATCATATTCCTCGATGGTTTGGTTCATTTTATCAATAGCTCCTTGGATACGAGACTCTGCTTCCTTTCTTGCTTCTACCTCTACATCTATTAATCCTTGAAGTTTTTGTTTTTCAGCAGTGATTTCTTGAATTTGCTTCTTTAGCTCTTCAATCTCCAGGAGGAGTTGATCTTTTTCTTCGTCTCTTTGCTTGATTTCTTGAGTATGTTCTTCGTTAAGGGCACTAATCTTCTTCTCATGATCTTTCTTAGCCTTGTCTAGAGTCTTTTTAAAATTATCATTCATTTGTTTCAACATCTTTTCATTATTCTGAGTCATTTTTGCTAGCTCTTCTTCTTTCTCTTGAGTGAGTTTTTGCTTGAGGGCTTCAAGTTCTCTCTTGTGTTCCTCTATAAGCTTCTGTTTTTCCTTCTCAAATTCTTCTTTTAACTTCTTGATCTGGTTTTCATAGTCAGATTTTATCTTTGAGAGTTCTCCTGAAGAGCCTTCCTTGATTTTCTTGATTCTTTCTTCGTACTCTTCAGTGAGCTTCTTGAGCTTATCGTTATGATCTGAATCGAGGCTTGATAGTTTGATATTGAGTTCATCTATTTGGGCTTGTAGAGATGTGATCTGATCCCTGTATTCCTTTTCTAGCTCAGCTCTAGAGCTATCTCCTTGCTGGCGGACATCAGCAAGCATTCTCTCATACTTCTCGGTTAATTCTTTTATTTCATTATCTTTTTCGTAGTTTAGTCTTTGTGTAGTCTCTTTGAGGGTTCTCTGGGCATACTCTTCATTCTCTTTCATTTGTGCCCTGAGTTTCTCGATTTCTTGTTGCAGCATTCCTGAACTATTCTCAGCAGATGCATGTAGCTTGTCTATTTCTTCCAATAAGGATTTTATCTTAGTGTTGAGCTCCTGAATTTGGTTATTCAGCTTATCGATTTCAGACTTGAGATTCTCAATTTCATCATCTTTTCCTGTGATGATTCCTTTCAAGTTTGAAATCTCAGCATCTTTAGCTTGAACAGTATCTTTGAGACTATTAATCTCAGCTTTTAGCTGATTTTCTCTCTCTACTAGATCACCGCTGAGAGATTCTTTCTCTTTTTTTAACTTTTCTTCGAGATCTCTCATCTTATCTTCATATTGATCTGTAAGTTCTCTGATTTGGGTTTCATATTTTTCGATTAATTCTTTGATTCTAGTCTCATATTCTTCGATCTTTTCTTCAAAGGCTGCTTTATGTGCCTCATCTTTTCTTAGAATTTCGTTAGAGTGGTCTTGCTTTAGAAGTGCGATCTCTTCTTTGAAGCTATCTCTCATCTTTTGCATCTCCTCTTGGAGTTTTTGGAGCTGGCCAGAAGAGTCAGTCTGAAGTAGTTTAATTTGCTCTTCAAGCTTTTCTATCTTATCCCTGAGCTTCGCTTCTGTTTTAGCTGATTTTTGCTCAAGTTTTTCATAGTTCTTCTCACTATCACTTAGCTGAAGTGTGAGCTCTCTTATTTGCTTTTCTAGGTCGACTATAGTTCTATTCTTTTCATCAATCTCTATCTGAAGAGAGTTTGAATTAGAATCCATGTTTCCTCTGAGACGTTTCAGCTCTTCATCAAATTCTCTTTGTTTTTGCTCTAAGAGTGCATTGGCTTTATCGAGCTCCTTTTTGAGATTTTCGATTTCTCTATCTCGATCAGCTATTGTATCCTTAGCGTTTTGAAGATCTTCCAGAATCTCACTGTACTTGGCTCCTTGATCATTTTGATCTGATTTCAATGACTGAATAGTGTCCTCTAAATTACTGATTCTGCTCTTTAATGCTGATATTTCACCATCTTTATTGGTAACAGTAAATTCAAGATCTCTAATTTGAGACTCAAGGTCCATTTTAAGTTGAGCAGATTTAGCTTCAACCTCTTGTTTCTTCTTTTTCATTTCTTCAAGAGCCATGTTCATGTTGGCTTTGAATTCAGACATTTCCTTCTGAAATTTATTCTGCTCTTCTTTTCTGATCCTGTCTTCTAGCTCTTTGAGTTTATGCTCGTATTCAGCAATGACCTTCTTCTTTTCTTTTTCAAACTGACTTCTGAGAGAATCCTCTTGGTCAAGCTTCTCTTGATATAATTGGTTGTACTTCTGGTTGCTTTCTCTCACATGTTCTGCCATCTCCTTAGCATGTTTTATCTTCAGCTCCTCAAGAGCTTCGGAGTTGTTCTGAGCGCTAGAGAGTTGCTTCTTTAGGTCTTCAAGTCTTGACTCAAAGTTGGACTTGGCTTTGACAACTTCCGATTTCAAACCTTCAATTTTATCTTTGTAATCCAGGCTAAGTCTATTTTTCATTGTCTATAGCTTGTTGTTTGTACTCCATGAACTTATGTTGAGACTCAGATTTCTCTTTTTCTAGCTCATTGAACTTTGCCTTGATATCTGCCTGGTCCTGCTGCTTTTCCAATGCGACCTTATATTTCCCAACGATCCGATTGGCATCCTTGAGGATAGTGTCAATCTCCTTGTCATGAGCCTTAGTTAGTGCTTGGCGGAAGCTCTTGTTCTCTTCATTACGGATATGCAATCCATAGATGACTTTGGTGAGCTGGGCTATCTTCTTGCTCATTCTATTATGAATTTCTGAGTAATTGTCACCCATAGTATTCTTAAATTTTTATAAATAATTTAAAAGTTTTCAAAATTGAGTTTTATTCAGGGGTTTTGGGGTTTTGGGGTTTTGGGGTTTTGGGGTTTTGGGGTTTTGGGG